ACTAATACCATTAAATGTCTAGATCAGAGGTCAGAAACCTTTAGCAAAGAGCAATTTTATCCTGACCCAAGATTTACAAACAGCTGCAATGGATAGAGAAAAGGGTTTGAGATACGGTTTTTAATGTGATATCGGTATATATGTATTTAACACAAAAACAAAACTTCAAGTACTTACAAAAAAATAAAGAAAAACAATTTCGGGGGGCTCTCAATTTTAAATCACTCAGACGTGTAACAGCGCAAAGGTGACTAATATCACAATATTGTTCAGTTCTGTAGCGATAATCTTCACCCTCACCCCTTCTTTCTTGAGTAAAGTTCTTTTGGCTCTGCAGTCGTTTGGCCTTCACTCTTCACTTCACTACTTGTAAAGGTGCTGACCAAGCAGTGCAAAATGTGCTCACCACTCTGAACTAAGCTGGCTATAATATGTAAATTGGAGAAAATATAATAATTTTATGAAGACCTGGGAAGGCGTGGTGACGATTTACTACAAAAAGTATAGTGGTACCTCAGAACTTTAACTTAATCCGTTCAGAACTTGGTTCTGATCAAATTTTCCCCATAAGAAATAATGGAAAACCAATTAATTGGTTCCCGGCCCCCAAAAATTACACCTAAATATGTTTTTTTTTTTCTTTTTTTTTTAGCATTTAAACACAAAATGAACAGGATAAAACAAGAAGAGCATATATTGTACTAAATACATCTAAGCACATTTATCAAAACAGTAATTTGTAAAGTAAGAAAATAAATGTATCCAAACAATGTGTCCTACCCTGATCGTCCGCTCCTTCTGTGTGCCATGCCCCCTCGTTAACCCCGTGTGGAATCCCTGTGTGATCAGTTGTTTCTGGTTGTTGTTATTAGTCCACTGTATTTCTCCCGCGTTTCAGTTTGTTTCCCCAGTCCGGTCATTGTATTGTCCGTCTGCGTTTTGCCTGCATTACCTGTAAATTAACCCTGTATTCCCCGATACCCTGACGTCTGCACCTTTGTCTCCGTTCCGTCCCCGCTCGGCACTACAATATTATTATAATTAAATGTATTAATGGTTTATTATTAATATTAAAATAATGAATAAGAAATCTTTATTTTTAAATGTATTTTATTATATAATAATATAATTACTGTTACTGTCTATCATTGTCTAGATGTATTTTACTGTCTAAATACAGTGGTACCTCAGTTCTCGAACTTAATCCGTTCCGGACTCCGGATCCAATCCTAAAAAGTTCGAGTTCTGATCGAATTTTTCCCATAAGAAATAATGGAAAACCAATTAATTGGTTCCCGGCCCCCCAAAATTACACCTAAATATGTTTGTTTTTTTTTTTTTGTTTTTTTTAAGCATTTAAACACAAAATGAACAGGATAAAACAAGAAGAGCATTTTTTTCTTAATGGCTTCCAAAACGATAAAGATCTTATCCCAACATTACCCCTGTCCTGCCCCGATCGTCCGCTCCTTCCGTGTGCCACGCCCCCTCGTTAACCCCGTGTGGAATCCCCGTGTGATCAGCTGTTTCTGGTTTTTGTCATTAGTCCTCTGCATTTCGTCCGCGTTTCAGTTTGTTTCCCCAGTCCGGTCATTGGGTGCGTTCGACTTGCTTACAGCGCTGGCTTAAAGCAACGCGTTCTGATCCTGACGCAATGCATTACGGTTAGATGCATTGCGACCTCTCACCCAGCTGCACAAACAGGAACTGCCTCCGTGACAACACACCTTTGCCCATATTGGCTGAAGAGTTTAGCTAAACGCATGACGTTTGTATCCCAGGCAGTTCCGATGCGTAATCTGCTATTTCTCCCGAATATCATGTAAAGCAGTGAGAACTGGTTTTCAGTTAATTTACCTGGTAAAATAAAGTTTAAATAAATGACATAAATGCTCTAATAGTACACGTAAGTTAGTGGTTTATTTATTGCTAGTTACTGTAATGTTGCACTGCTTTATTTGGTTAATCGTCCAGTCTGTGAAGAAGGCATTCAAGTAAGAATTACATTGTAGTATGACTCATTTCCTGGCGTGTACAATTTATATTAGGTCAGCGTTCACGGTTCGACTTCTGATATTCAGATCAAGTTCTAGGTGAAACTGGTTTGTTCGACTTTCAAGAAATTCAAGTTCTAGTGAGTTCGAGAACCGAGGTACCACTGTATATGTATTCAGCTAGTGTAAACATGCACGATGCTATCACAGGGAATTCGAGGCTGAGACCGAAGCGTTACCTTTTGTTTCCGCTGAGAGACATGCTGCGTGACTCATTTCCCTGTGCGTACAAGTTATCTTAGATAGACGTTCACTGTTCGACTTCTGAGATTCAGATCGAGTTCTAGGTAATTTCTCTTCGAACTGGTTGGTTCGGCTTTTAAGAAATTCGAGTTATAATGAGTTCGAGAACTGAGGTACCACTGTAAATGAAAGATTTAGGAATCCCAATAAACTTTGAAGCCTACATTGAATCTCAGACACTGAAGAAATCTCTGGAAAGTATACCATTTGACCGGAGATGTAATCTCGTCGTAGAGAATGACTTTGAGGAAGATGTAAATTATGCAGTTAATACATCACAGAAGCGTACGACAGGCCGCCTCATTCACATATAGCTAAAGAAATATCTAAATGAAAAATAATAATATTAACCCATAAATAAATAATATTTACGAAAATATTATCATAATATGTTGAGACATTAACATGTGAATGCGTCTACTGTTAAGAGAAGAGCCGCAGTCTCATGCTCAAAGAGCCGCTCATGAGCCGTGGGTTGCCAATCCCTGGTATAGATGGAAGTCACATTCCCATCACTAATGAATGCAGGAGATAATGGGAATAGACAACTTTATTGTGCAGGTAGTGTCAGAACATTTTATTCCACATCAAAGTTACATTTTTCTGTGTGCAATGTCAAGGTAATTTGTGGCACTGAACAAATGATATTCATGATGTCAATATTCACACTAAATGGCCAGACTCTGTCCTTCACTCATGGATTTATAAGGAATGTACAATGTACAACAAATTTGCACAGGGTATGTAACTTCGTAGCTTAAATTGAGTCACATCCTGCTCTACCACACATTGTGCCACAAAAAGAATTGTTGTTTGGAGGCAAGTCTGCAGATAGGAATGCTATAATATCTGCACTCCCCTCCAAGGGACTGAGTTTTCCCCTTAGCAGCTCAGCCCATAACCTAGGCATAATCTTAGATACAAGCCTCTCATTCAAATCACATGTAGATACAGTATCGAAGGTATGCTTTCTACAGCTACGTAACATTGCCAAACTAAGACGATTCCTCACTATTCAAGGCACTGAGAAATTGATATGTGCCTTTGTGTACATTAGGTTAGACTACTGTGATGCTCTGTTATCTGGGAGAAAGCACTGCATGTTAAACACCTTGCAGTATATTCTAAATGCAGCAGCTAAAATTGTCATCAGGAGCAGGAAGTTTCAACACATAACCCCTGCTCTTAGTTCCCTGCACTGGCATCCTGATATATTCAGGACTGACTTCAGAGTTCTCATACTTACATATAAGGCACTTAAAGGTGTAACACCTGCCTGCGTAACAATTACTTCAAGTTCAAAGGCCACATCATCCACTCAGATCACAGAACGCAGGTTTCCTTGTTGTTCCACACATAAATAAAGCAACATTTGGCGGTATAGCATTCTGCTACAGGGCCCCTATATCGTGGAATGGTTTGCCAGCCCATGTTCGGGATGCCCTGATCACATCCTTGTGTGTAGACGCTGGAGGCTCCTGCAGAACTGCAGAGTCTACAGAAGTGCCCAGTTTGTGAATTTTTACCACTCACTTGTTGTTGCTACTCTGAAGATTCAGCTTAGATCCAGTAGGCTACCATCTACTAGGAGAACAAGGCTGGACTTAGCCAGACTCCAAGATCAAGATGTTTTTGATGAGTTTGCACGCAATTTGCGTGAAGAACTTCAAGACTTGGGTGTGATGCTGACTCAAATGTGATGTGGGAGACCTTCGGTTGTAAGACCCTGAAGATTTCCAAGAGTTGTGTTGGTGTTGCCAGTGTTCCCAGAAGGAGGTGCTTCATCACGCAGGGCACCCTGGATATTATCGAGAGGAGTCGCAGCACACAAATTGGTGGCAACTCCAGTCTGTACAGGAACTGAGAAGAATAGCTGTGAGAGGCAGATAAGGAGGTGTTTTTTAGATGAATCTGTGAGCAGGTGACACACCATCTGTGGTCTAGTGATCCACGTCCTGATGCTGTGATCTTAGCGTAGTCAATGGAGGCTCTGATCGGAGGCTCTGTCTGGGATTGTGGGTGTCCTGGATAAAGACCAAGATCCAGGCATTTAATGACTTCTTATGCACAACCATCAGTAGTGTGTCTGTCTGCTGGGAAATGCCGACCTTGTCGAGGGATTTACCTACCTCTGCAGCAACATTCATGTCTCTGGTGACATTTCCTGTGAAGTCAGCAGATGGATTGGAAGACCATGGGGAGTCATAAGGTCGCTGGAAAGGGGTGTGTGGTGCTCCCGATATCTTTGCAAGAGGACAAAGGTCCATGTCTTTAGAGTCCTGGTGCTCCCTGTCTTGCTGTATGGCTGTGAGACATGGACACTATCCAATGAGCTGAGACGAAGACTGGACTCCTGTACTGTGTCTCTTCAGAGAATCATTGAGTACCGCTGTTTTGAATTTGTGTCCAATGAGTGGTTGCTAGAGGAGTCCCGAATGAGGCACATTACCTGCATTGTGAGGGAGTGTCAGTTACGGCACTACGGCCATGTGGCGCATTTCCCTGAGGATGATCCAGCTCGCAGGATCCTAATTGCTGAGGACCCATGTATGTTGTATGTTGCTACTAGAAACTGAATTTCATGGAGGAACCTTCCAGAGGGATTAATAATGTTATCCATCCATCTACCTATCTATCCATCCATCTATCCAACCAGCTAGGGGGGCGCCCACGTAACACTCTCTCTGTCTGTGTCTCTGATAGTGACCTTGGTGGAGTCCACAAGCACTCCTCATGGTTTGGAGTTGGTAAGTTCATATCAGTCCCACCGCATTGGAGATCCCATGGACCTTGTTATGCTGGCACAGCAAGTACAGAAGGTAACACATAATTATATCTTTATATCCTATATGTTGAACATGCTCATAAAGTCTTCTGGGATGGCAGTTTTTGCTTCCTATGAAGTGGTTTTTCCCATGTAAAATTTGGAATTATTACTGCAGTTAAAGCTTAATAACAGAAGTCTGCAGACTTTTACATTGTACTGTTAAATAAGACATATGTTAAATAATATTCTGCTATGACAACACCTCTATATAAACCTAAATCCACTGCACAATGTAAAACAATGTAAATTAATGGCTTGGTTTTACAGGGAAATGAGTTTATTAGGGCAAATGCCTGCAACAAGTTAACAGTTATTGCAGATCAAATTAGATACCTACAGGAACAAGCAAGAAGGGTAAGGAGATTAACAAAGTCCAAATTCTTCTTTTTCATGATCACATTTATAATTGTCATCACCATGTTATGATGTGTGTTGGTTTCTGGGCCAGATATCATCTGACCCTAGAATGACCCCTGGTGACATGTAATATTACAGTGATTTTAAATTTGACATATGTCCTGACCTACATGTAATTGTATTCTTTAAAATGATACATGGTGATCTTTGTGGAACTTCTTGTTAATGTAGGTTTTGGAAAATGCAAAAATGGATGCTGAACTCCACCATGTAGCATGTAACATGGTCAAAAAACCTGGAAACATGTATTACTTATACATGCGAGAGTCTGGACAGCGATATTTTTCCATTCTGTCTCCTAAGGTAAAGGGGAAAAAATTATCAATGACAAAATTTACTACAAAATGCACTGTTGAAATTACTAATATTCATGTTGCGTTTGGATTGGCTTACAGTTGTTGTTTCATGTGTACACTTAAATGTATTTAGGTTAGACTTAAAAAATGCTTAGGCCATAATTAGCATGAAGAAAATGAGTAAATGGCTCTCTTAATTACATGATTGCATCAAGATTAATTTGTAGCCTCTTATATATGATTGCAGCAAATCTAGACTCATTTATTCATCTTATTCTTCAAGCAACAACTGAATGACTGTCTCTATGATTGTATTGCCCTTGATTCACAAAGTGTGGTCCTGTTGTGGTGACTGATAGTATGATAATATATTGCAATTGTTTTATTTACATAAAGACTTCTAACAGCCACCCCACAATATTAGTAGATAAGCTGGATCTGAAATCTGAACTTAACATTCTTATGAGTACCTTTCAAAATATTTGAGTGTTTTTTTTCCTTCTCAATTCCTTCTCAGGAATGGGGTTCCAGTTGCCCACACAAATTTCTTGGTGCCTACAAGCTTCAACATGATATGTCCTGGACACCACTGGAGGAGGTTGAAAAAAAAGATTATGAAAACAGCATAATGGACAAGCTGCTGAGCAAGAAAACTGCTCTTCCTTTTACTGAGCCCCAATTTGAAGGTTTCTTCAATTAAATTTGGAAACAGTATATTATACTGTCGTAAGCTAATGCAAAGGAATTTATTTGAAAACGTCTAAATCATCTCAAATCACTGCTTAAGATTTTACATTACTATGCAATGTGACACCACGTTTTACTACTTTTGTGCCATTTTGCTGTAATTTGTTGGATTAGCTGCATTTGAAAAAGAAAAATTATTTCCTTATTTTGAAAACATTATAGATGACAGAGAAATTGTCAAATGTAGGTTGCTGCACTCTTGCAGCCCAAAAGTGCATCATGTTTATCAAATCACTACACTGAAGTAATTGGTTTTAAATCTAATTGAATACCTAACTTTCTCATTTAGTGTATATAATGCACATATTTTAAATACAGGATGTGTCATCAGAACCCCTTCCAAGCCTAGTAATATTTTTGACGAGGACAATCCGAAAATTTTGCTGAGTATCATCATATTAACTGACAGGGTGTCACTAAATCCCTGATCTAATATGAGTAGATGGAAAATGATGGTTGTCAGATGTGGGTCTTTACCATTTGGCATGACGCCTACCTTGTGCAATGGATTTTGTAGACTTTTTTTCTGTAATCAAATAGAGACTCTACCAACATATTTTGCAATTCAAATTTATTATTAAACAATATCATGTTATTGGTGTTACTGATGACAGTCAAACATATCCTAAGATATTCCATAACAAAACTCACAATAATACACACCCACAATAAATCCAGAAAGGCATTAATTTCTAATGTAGGGAAGAAATCAATGTATACATAAATAAGAAGCATTAAAAGTGTTTTAAAAATATACCCTCTGCTATTTTTATCTTCTTCTTAAACAATTAGACTAGGCTGCAGATTGCAGGTTGATTTATTTAGGTAACTGTTTTTAGGTAATTGTTTATGAAAGGCAAAAGTTCCCAGTTGTCAGTAGCAATATGAACTTTAACTGCATCTTCTGTATTTACAATTTTTAGCAACAGATGATATTGAGGGGGAAGGTAAAAGAGGACTTTGTAACACTTTTTTTCAGGTTGCTTAGAGATTAGGTAGGGATTGAAGTTCTCCTCAACAAGGTCAGAAATTTGCCGACCTCCAAGATCAAAACAAAACAAACTGGAGGCTTTTAGACTGAAATTATCTTGACACATGGAGTTCCAGAGATGGTCAAAGAGCTGTTCTTGGGACTCTTGGGTCCAGTTCACTGGGACAGGCAAGGGTACAAATAAATCTGAGAAAGATACAAGTAAATCGTCCAACTGAGTATACCAGGACATCCCGTCATCTGTACTGAACACAGCACAGACATGAAGGTGGGTGGGGTATGGCTGTCGAGGCTGTAGTGCAAGCCGCACCACAGGTGGCTTCCTGCTTTTGAACAGGCATGGAATGTTAATATCACTCACTTTTTCATAACAGGAGTCTGTCAGGTCAAAATGTAGACAGATACTAAAGAGTTTGTTGTACAGAGCATTTACATCACCTACATGTATCAGATGGTATTCCAGGATCATCTTGGAAACAAATCCAGTGCTGACATACTCTCCCTCATAAGTTGTCAGACAATCTCCATGGCCCTCTGACTTTGATTTCTGCATCACTGTCTGTGTCCTGATGTTTTGGACTCTTGTGAGTTTTAGGATTCTATTTTTTGTTTGGTATACAGTCAGAGAGTTGGACAGTCCATCACTCTCTGGCACCATAGAGGAGAGGGAACGTGTTTTAGCAGACCTCTCCACATCTGGTCCTTTTGCCAAGACCCCAGATAGCTTTTCTTGAGATAGATTATTCAACAATGTGTAATAGAATCTTGCATGGTCTTGAATATCTGTGTCTTCATAGTTATACATCAAGTACTGCAGGAGATCAGCTAGCTCACTGAATACCTGATGCAAGCTAGGGTGTTGGAGTAAATTACGGCACACAATGAGCACTGCATTGCCCATCTTCCAGCCACCTGTTTTGCAAAGGCTTGAGTTAATGAGGACACTGAGCAGAAAACAGAGTGAGGCCCTTGGGGGAATCTGACTTTCCCTGGACACTCGACTCAGTATTTTGAGATGCCATTTTAGGTTTGTAAGGGTCATGAGTGGCAGAGGTAATTCCACAATCAGTCTCTGTAAAGTTTTCAGTAGCTGGATAGGCCACCCAGACTCTTCCAAACATTCTTGGATTTTATCAATTAGATTGATCAGATTTGGTGCAAGGTAAAAGTGTCTTGAATAAAGCTCACAAATGTTATTTGTCAGGTTATCAATAAATTTCAGATTATGGTAAAAATAGCTGAGAAATATAAAAGTTGCTCTAAAATATGTAACTGTCATCTCTCTCTTGCTATTATTGTCCACAACTTTGTACAGAGTCATCAGATGACTGAACAAGTAGCCAACACCTTTGTCATCGCTCTCATCTGCTTCCATGTACACTAAGCTGAGAAGACGCAACCTAGAAAGCATAGTCTTGCTGTCGTTAAACACAGTGGGCAGCAAGGATGCAGCCAAGCGAGGTGTCACTAGTACTGGCAGGCTTTCTTCTCCATTGCCAGAAATCGGCCGATTTTCTGGAAAATTAAGTATACAGTCGACATAAAACAGTTTTTGCTGAATGTTTACTAATGGATGCTGAGCCATGCCCACCAGTCGCTTTAGGAAGAAAATCTCATCCTCAGTAGTGAACAGGCTATCTGTGAAGGTGCTCTTCATCAGTAGTGTAGCATGTAGCAGAGTGATTTCCTTAGTACCAAAAAGACGCAGGAGCTGAGACTTGAACATGGCTGGGGAGAGGGCTTGCACCATGGCTACAATTTCAATAAGCTCTCTGAGTAAAACAGCCTGAGAAACAGGGGTTAGCAGGTAGGACTCCTCTAACAGCAAGGATACAACAGACTTAAGCTCTTTGTTGTCAGTGCTTGTCTGTAATACAGGAATATTCTCCATGAAGTTCACTGGTAAACGGGCAAGGACAGTTTCAAAAGCATTCCAAACAAAAGTATCATTTCCACTTAATGTCCTTTTCAATTCAGCATCTGTTACTCCTTTTTGCAGACACAAGTGATGAATAGCATTCTTCAGGCCCAATGTATATAAAAGACTGTACTCTTGGTGTAGCGGTGTGGTCTCTTGCTGTTTTAAGAGACTAAGTATTTCTAACTTTTGAGAAAGAAATCCTGGAAAACAAGTCTCTATTTCCCGGAGGCAGTCACAGGCAATCAACCTGGCAGACAAAAACTGTTGCCCATTTTTGTGATCATTGGTGTCCTGGATCATCTGAAACACCATGTCAAGAAAGCTCTTGGCCACCTCCACCTCACTATTCATGCAAGATGTGCACAGCAAAACACTTGTAATAGCTACCATGAGCTGGCCCTTAAAGTGGAATGACTTGTGAGGAACTTGATTGAAAATGGCTAGGAGTTCCAAAGCTGTTTCTTCTGCTGCTGCTGGGGTTGGACAAAGTACAGTGGGGTACTCTAACAGTGGTGACAGTAAGAAGATCTGCAACAAGATGATAAATGTCACAAGTGACAGTAGAATATGCATCCAAACTTCCAATCATTCAATTTACACAACAGCTATTAAAATATCCTAGTAGCAAATATGAATTATAATTAATTGAAGTCAGTATTAATGTTCACTAGGTAGCATTATTGTCTCCCACCTCCAGAATTTCATATTTAGTCTGCGTGCAAAATTTGTTTCCCTGTTTTGGACCACTTTTCTTCCTGGATTTCATCCACTATATTAACGTGACTTTGTAGGTGCTTACATCAGACCCTTGTGGAGTCCGGCATGTATTCTATCATACCCCCAGGTTTTCCTATTTGAGTTCCAGATCACCACAGCAATAATGTGATATGCATTTTTAAATAAATTAATCTTAATATTTATTTCACCTAAAAATATATAACTAGAATTAGTACAATTTAAAGTGCACCCTACTTCTTACATCTCTGAAATCACATAGCTCATTTAAAATATGAATAACTTGAAAACGCTGACCTTGTTAAAGAAACGTGGTTCAAGTATATAATTATATGTTAGTAGAAGCATCGAGATAGCCGTGACTTAAACACACCTTTGTGCTTTCGTTGGTCCTGTCATCCCTCAGTTCATGCAGAAGTTCTTCTAGAAAGCTCTCTGATGTCGTACTGGACAAGAACTGAGATGGGCTGAGCAAGAAAGCAGGGATTCTTCGAGACCAGGTTACTGGAATCACGTTCGCCATTACTGAAAAAGTTAAAGTGTTTTCGATTACATATCTGCAGCTTTAAAGTAGCTATATTTTGCTTTTACAAAACGGTGCACTCACTTTCCCCTTTACCGATTGCGCTGTTAGCAAAATATATATTTTAATTTAAATGCTTTGTTGAAGATCTGCCATCTATCCCCATGCAAGTAAATTTCACTAAAACGTATTTCGTGTATACAGACTATTCTAACTTCTATCCCGCTTCTCTCACTTCCTCATTCCCTGAAGAACCGGATCATACGACCAAAGCGACCTTTTGAAAACTCTTCCGGTTTGGATTTTTTCATTTACAATATTACCAGACTTCCGATTTTGAGACGGCGGTGTCGTCACTGTGCCAAGAGAGTCTAGCTGCAGCTGCTGTGGAGCGTAACACAAAAGACAGGAAATGGAATAATAAATTTATCACAATATTACTGCATAACCCTATTACCTTACGATCTAAATTCTTTTGGAATTCCCAGTTTGAAAATATCAATTGGAATATGTCATGGACTTTAAGCAATAAATATTGTGTAACTAATAAAGTAAAAGAAATTCAATTTAAAATTTTACACATAATCTATCCCACAAACACACAGTTAAAGAAATACAGAAATGAAATATCTGATCTTTGTTCCTTTTGTGTGCACTTGTTTTATGATTGTTTACATGTCAGATACTTTTGGATTGAGATTGACATTGTCTGGCTGTAAAAAAAATTTAGATAGGAAAGATATCCTATTCTATTATGGGAAAAACAACTTAAATGGTAATTATGTTTTTATTTTAAATCTGTTTATTTTATATGGTAAATTTTATGTTCACAAATGCAAATGATCCTCAAAGAAGCCTAATATATGCCAGTTTAAGTTGGAATTGGAAATTTTATTTTAGCACGTTGGATGGACTTAAAAAAAACCGAAAACCTGTAAAAACTATCAGTTTATATAAGGCCCTGAAGAATCTTTTGTAAATGAGAAAGAATATGTACACCCTTTTTTTTAAATGCAATTTGTATTTGTTATGTGTTTTACATTGTTTGTATACCGTTAAAAAAGCAATTAAAAAAAAAAAAGCTGAGTTTTACAGGAAGTGGAGTTTAACCGGAAATGGAGCGTTTTACAGGACGTCCCTCCTTAAAATGATTAGGAGTGGAGTTTTACGGGTAGTCCGTCCTCAAAATAAATACGCAAATTAACTTCTTAGTGTAGTGTTTACGGAGGTTACAATGAATTTCGGAGGAGAAATATTCCCGTCTTTCCTTTACATGTAGCTTTGTACTTTTGACAGAACATTATTTTTACCATATATGTTGCTATTGTTAGACATTTTCAACGTGTGTGTGCGCAAAACATACTGCAATGTAATATTTTAATCAGCATGCAGTAATGAATTGTGTCTATTATTATTAATACATGTATAATTTGTAGGGTTTGTTTGAGAAAATATTAAGGTGTCTTGGTACTTCGGCAAAACTTCGGCTCTCCGTAGCGTTACTTAAATTTTTGCTCTTGTGCAATTCAGTCTTTCTGTCGTGTGTACCTACATACGTATATCGATCATTTTTGCCTTTATGACAAATGTACCAGAAGGAAATGAATTATATCTATAATGTGGGACTGCTATTAAATCGACGAATATTGAAAACTCATTCAAGGTACCATGAAAATGTGTATAGCAATTTAATTTTGCCAATTGAGGGAATAATTAATGAAATAAAGGGAATGATTCTGTAATGCTGTAACTAATCAAAACGAGAACTGACTGGCGCGCCAGAAAGGCAAGGCTACCTAATCGGAACAGATAGGGAGGGCGACAGAGAATATCAGCGGCCCCTACTTATCTTTTAGCCTTCCAGAAGGACAACTAG